GTAACAAATAACAGCTCAAGATGACACACATGTATTATCTCTCAGTTTCTATGGGTCGGGAATCCAGGAGAAGATTAGCTGGAGAAGATTAGCTCAGGGTCTCTTGTGAGACTGTTGTCAAGGTGTCAGCTGGGGCTGCGGTCATCTAAGGGCTTGACTGGGGGAAGAACCACTTCCAAACTCAGGTTCCTGGCTGTTGGCTGGAAGCCTCAGTTCAGTTTGTCATGTGGGCTTCTCCAGTGGGCTGCTCACAGCATGGCAGCTTGTTTCCCCCAGAGCAAAGGATGAGAAGAGAATGAGAGCATAAGAATGCAAAGTGAAAGCCATAACCCTCAATTTCAAAATGAATCCTGGCCAGGCACAGTGATTCAAGCCTGCAATCCCAGTGCTTTGGGAGGCTGTGGTGGGAGAATTGCTTGAGGCCTGGACAACATAGTGAGACTGTGTCTCTCCAAAAATATAAAAACAAAAAATTACCTGGGTGTGGTAGCATATGTCTATAGTGCCAGCTACTCAGGAGGCTGAGGAAGGAGGATGGATTGAACCCAGGAGCTGGAGGCTGCAGTGAGCTATGATCATGCCACTGCACTCCAGCCTGGGCAACAGAGCAAGACCCTGTCTCAAAAAGAAAATAAAAAGTGACATCCTATCATTTGTACCATACTCTATTTATTAGAAGCCAGTGGCTAGATTCAGTCACACTCAACTCAAGGGGAGGGGTTTCCACTGGGGAGTGAATACGACAGGCAGAGTTCATTGGGGATCATCTTCAAAACTACTTGCCCACCCCCACCCACTTTACAGGTGGGATAACTGTAGTCCTGAGAGATTAAGTTAGTAAAAGATAGGGCTGGGGTTTGAATCCAGCACCGGGTGAGCTCAGAGCCCACCTTCTTAACCATTTTGCTGTCTTGCTTTCTTGAGCTTACATTATTTAAACACTTTTGCTGTCCTCGGACCATTTGAATGGCCCTGCCTGGTGTGCTGATGGCCCTCATGTACACCTCGGTCCTAGCATGGGCCTCCCTGCACTGCTATATTTGGTTTCTTATTTGTCTGTCCTGCGAGATAGGATGGCGAGCCAGGCACAAGACAGATAATTGAAAGTAAGGAATGAAGGTATGGGCTCAGAAGAGTTTGCTATTTAAGAAAGAGTGACCTGGCAACATGGGGCCACAGGATGAAGAGTCTTCCCTGATGGGCAGGAGTGTGTGCAGACATCTGTTTTGTGTGTTTGGCTATCTCTGTGTGGTGGTTTCCTGGGTCCTCAGAAGCTCACAGCTTGGCAGCTTTCTTGACCCACCCTTCATCTTTCCTGTCCCATCTCTTTGGACCCCAGGGCACAGTGGCAGGACAGAGCAGTGTCCAAAAAAGTTCAAGGTGAATGGGTCTTGAAGGGCCCATTGTGGGAAAAGGGGTCAGCAGTATCCTCTGGACACAAGTCAGAGACACAAGTGGTGTCCACTGTGCATTGTCCACATGCCTCCTTTCCCATCGTACTGTGGTGGCAGTGGGGTGGCAGCGGTGGGGGCAGGCGGTAGTGGGACAAAGCTCAGGGATCCCTAGAAGGTAAGCGTCTTCCTGCAGGAGTGAGGAGGTATTTCCCCATCATTGATTCAGCATGGTGGTGTTGCCGTCTTCCTAAATGCCATCTGCTGAGAGCTTCTAGGACAGTGGTTTCCAAAGGATCTGGACCCCATCAGTCCCACCTGGAACATGTTAGACCTGCAAGTTTTCAGGCTTTCCTACCCAGACCTACCGAATTAGAAACTCCAGGCCTGCAGCCCAGCAATCTGTGTTTTAATGAATCCTCCAGGTGATTCTGATGCAGATAAAATCTGAGAACCATGGCTCTAAGCATTTTTTTCTCTAAATCCTCCCAAGCTTTTACATTTTTTAAAATAAAAATTTCCCAAAGCAAAAATGTTCAATATATAAATGTGGGAAGATCCAGGGAAGCACAAAGAAGAAATTTTAAGTGATCTGCAGATTAGTATTAATTTTTTAGTGGATATCACTTCATTGTTATAGGTGTATGCATGTATTTATAAATATACACAATGTTTAACAAGATTCAGATTTCACTGTAAATAATGTTGTGTATGCTGCTTTTTAAACATTTCTCCAAGTCTTAAACATTCTCCCACTGCACGATTTATGCACGGCTACGTAGTATTCCATGGCTGGAATGTACCGTCATCTAACCAAACTCTAGGACTGAGGCATCCATTCCTTGGAGAGGATGTTGATTGTGAACTATGCTCAGATGTGTTTAGAACACAAACAGATGGTGAGCAAAACAATTAACCTCTCCCTCCTCCTGGGTGAGGAGGGCAAACCAGTGAGAAGGGTATTGAGAGCTCGGTCTTAGGGCACTGGGGGCCTGATTGCAGCCACAAGGCAGTGAGAATGCAGATAAAGGGACAAATGAAGGAGGTGTCACAAGCTCAGTGAGTGCCCAGAAATGGGTTTTGAGGGAGCAGGAGTGTCATAGATTCTGAGTCCGTGTGACAGAGAACGTACTTTGATAGGAATGGAGACAAGGAAGTCAACATTCAGATCCGATTTTTGCTTTAGAAAAAACACCCCCACAAAACCAAAAACCTGTCTTCATATGCACACGAGAATGTGCAGAAGACTATAAACTAAGATGTTAATGTGATTTCTGAGTGGTGATATTATGAGATACTCTCATTTTCTTCTTACGGCTTTTCTGAGTTTTTTGAATTTTCTATAATGAACATCTATGACTTTTGTAATAAAAACATGGAAGAGAAGACTAGGGAAGTCAGGGGGAGTCATTGTTTTGGGTGAAAGATGCTAGATGAGTCTGTTGAGTTGTGCTGGGGTGACAGGCCCCACAACATTTAGGAGAAGGTCAGAGTTCAAAGAGTGAATTTGTGAATCTTTCTCTTGAAAATGCCCCAGGGCCAGAATGAGCATTCTGTAGGTGGGATGACGACCTGGGGCTCCTTGGGAATTGATTGAAGGATGCTTGCTGGGTGAGAGAGAGTGCTGGCAGGGAGGGGTGCTGTGGCCTGGCCTCTGCAAGCTTGCTGTGTGTGTGTGTGTATGTGTGCACGTGTGCACATTTGTACATGGTGTGTTCCCAGCCCGGTCAACTCATGAAGTGACCGTAAAGGCTGAACCCTGATTTGGTCTCCACAGATCTTTGTCGAGGGGCTTTGGCAGGCAGCAGGCATCCAGTCCCAGAATCTCCTCCCAGCTAAGGCTGATTAGAACGGAGTCAGAACTATTAACCTCTTCTCCTTCTCCCTGGCTTTCGCTCATTGCAATGCCCTGCGGAAGGAATCTTGAAAGACAGCGCTCAAATGAGTTTCAGTGACATCTATCTAATCTGATGCTGAAGGGGCTGTGCTGGTTTTTTATTAAAGTTCATTACTTCCAATTACAAAAGAGGGGTTTGGTGGGCGTATGCCTTAAACCTAATTGAACTGTTTCGCCTGTTCTCCCTAGTGTGAAACATTCTCACCCTTTGGGGGAGAAAAAAATTTCTTCATTTTAAGAAAACATGTTTATCCTTGCAGGGCATTGAGAACTGAAGAAACCTAATGGGCTTGGTGTGGAAGTGAGGGAGAGAGCGGTTGCAGCACGGAGAGCTGGCAATCCTGGAGGCCCTTGAAATCCGACACCAGCTGGGAGGGTCTGTAGTGCCAGCTCCAAGGATTCCTGGGTCCTTGGTGGAACTCCATAGGCTGGTTTGTTTGCCTGGCCTTAGGAGCTGCTTCATAGTGAAAGCTTTACAAAGCTGATGGAGGGCCCATTGGTGAATGACGATGGTTCCAAGGCTAGCAGATCTCTTTCTCACTTCTCTTCCATCCTTTCAACAAGATTTCTGGCCTGGAAAAAAAGCAATGATGGCTGGAAATGGTGCTTGAAAACTGCTGAGCTAAGTAGGCTGAACTTTCATGGGGGCGCTCCAGGGACTTCATAAGGAGTGTGTGGTGGAGGGGCAGCAGGGTGCTGGGGAGCTCAGGTGTTGTTTGTACTCGCAGTCACCAGTTTCTTCTGTAATGTTTTTCCTAAAGTGTTTCTGCAGGAAGTCTGATTTGAGAAGGCATGAAATCCAGGAAATGGCAAGAAGTGGGCTGGGTGTGAGGAAGCAGGGTCCTTGGGCTGTTGCTGTGTGAGCAGGGAACTAGGAGGCCATGCTGCCCTTTCTGTGCAGGAGACCCCCTTACTCTCTGTTTCTGCTGAAGGGAGCTGATGTGGGGATACGTATGACAGTCCTCTCATCTCCCCAGACCAGTGCCAGAGTGGAGGTGGCATGATTAGGAGAAGTGAAGCTTGGAGAAGTATATTGGCTGAGTGGATGCTGATTACTTTGTTCTCTGACTTTTATTTGAATCTGAAGGAAGATGGAGGAGAAGAGGCACTGAAGGGAGGATTTGCTATTCTGGTGTAGCTATTGGAGAGAAGGGGATGAATATTCCGGAGCCCATTTACTGTTTCTCTGACTCTAGGAAACTTGGGCTCCTAGCTCTTAACTCCACTGTTAAATATGGGTCCCTGGAGAATCAGCAGAGAGACTCATCCCTAGTCAGAGCTGACAATACCAGTTCTCTTTCTCCTGTCGTGGAGACCAGAAACCTCTCATACTTTTTGCTTGGGTCATACCTAGCCATGTGCCCACCTGGGCCTTCTGAGGCCATCTACTCCCACTTGGCCCCCTGTCTTCTGGTTCCCCGGTCCAGGGCCCAGAGTCCAATACCAACACCATAGGAAAGCCTTGAACACTCTGAAGACTCTGACAGTGGGAGGGCTCTTGGGGAACACACGATGGTAGGTGGTGGGGATGAGGAAGTCCAGAGCTGGCACTTGCAATGTGTCATTGTTTTATTAAAATTTAAAATTTAATAAAACAAAATATATGGGAGATGTTCCAGCTCCACGTGCATTGTTCGACTTCTCGCTGACACAACACGTTAGCAAGTGCACAGCCTGGCCTTCCGTCTCCAGATGTCAAATGGTAAGGGTTGATCTTTGTGGTTCCTAAGTGTGATGACTGGGTTTTCATACTCATGTGAGATATGCCTCCCTAAGCTTCGTTATGACATCAGCACATTATCTGTCTGACGTTTTTTTTAAAAAAAGGCTTGTAGTTGTTTGAGGACCTATAGGGATGGGGGTGTGCTGGTGGCATGGTCCATACTTGCCACAGCTGGGAGTGGGACAGAGCCTGGGTGGGACAGAGCCTCACTTCCTTTGTGCTGCTGTTAGAGGCCCCAGACTCTCAGCCCAACAAACATTTCTGCCTCCTTTACAGCAGCATGTCCTCGAGCCAGCCATGGAGGGTATGCTGAGCGTGCTTATCTACCCACGGAGGGGAGGAGTGGACCAGAGCTGAGAAGGAACCGACTGCACAGCCACACAGCCAGATCCTGGCTCTGCTGGTTACTTGCTGTACAAGATCCTTCTTCATCTGTAAAATGGCAAAAACAAGAGACTTTCATCCCTCATTGGCTTATAGCCAGAGAGTGCCTGTGAGATACTATCAGGGAGCACTAAATGTGTGGTCATTTTTTATTGTAGGCTAGACACCTGCTGTGGATTGGGTCACTGCCTCACAGAGCATGCAGTGAAAATGGGGAGACTGGAAAGTTCACGGACATCTGAAATACTTAGAGATGTGCTAAGTCCTGAGAGGAGCCAATAGAGTATGTCTGCCTGTGTGTGCACATGTAATCTGGGGCAACTTCTAGGAGAAGGTGATTTTTGATGTGGCCTTTAGGGAGGTGGGAAAGATTTCAATTAAAAGATCTAGAGGAACTTGACAAACACTCCTTCAGTGAGGTGACCCAATGTCAACATCCACAATGATAAATCATGTCTATAGTATGTACTCCAGGTATGACATGATAAAAATTGCACTTTACCTCTGTGGTTTCCCACCCATAAACACAGTTTAATCATGAGAAAAAACATCAGACAAATTCAATAGAGGGTCGTTCTATAAAACACCTGACCAGTCCCCTTCAATATGGTTGAGGTCATCAAAACTCAGCAAAGCAGGAGAAAAATCTCACAGCCAAGAGGAACCTAAGCAGATGTGACAACTAAGTGTCACTGGGATCCTAGAGAAGATCCTGGAACAGGAAAAGGACATTAGGCAAAAACGACTAACATCTGAATAAAGTATGGGCTTCAGTTAAAAAACGACAGGAAGTAAGTTCATTTTCTCTGAAAAGGGAAGGCTCAGAAAAGTTTAGCCTGTGATAGTTCTAAAGGGGTCTTAACAGTGATTAACCCATTTAAGCCTGAGGTTGCAATTTTTTGAATTTGAAAAATCAGACCTTAGTGATGACCTTGAGCAGTAGGATATAAATAACTCCCGCAGGCTTAGCATTCCAAAAATGGAACACTAGGCATAAATGGAGGCATTAGTCAAAGGCTGGAACTGCAGCCATCACTGATGAATGTTGGTAATAATAACAGCAGTAACTAACAAGACCAAGCAAGGCTGACTATGCTGGTGTCTATTGGCCGGGGTTTGGGCTCCTTCCATGAGTGTTGTGAAAAGGGTACACTGAGCTAGCCCGATGAGGAAGGCCTTCTGGACCAGGTGAATGTTCGGGGAGCCTGTGGAAGGGCATTGGTGAGCATGACACGGACCTCTGTGGGATGGCAACTCCAAGGGGCCCCCCAGCACCAGTGCTTGGCCCCTGCTCAGAGCCTCCCCTCCTCAGATCTGAGCCCACCACCAGGGACAGAAAGAGCCCCTCAAAGCAGGTGAGGTGACAACATTTTTTTTTAAATCAGAGAAATTATTACAATTTGGCCCAGATTCTGGGACCGACAGAGCAGTGAGACATTTGCATGAAGGCCTCAGAGGGTCTGGAGCTCTCAGCTGTCATTTATAGCTTTCCTTTTAATCATGTTTTATTTTTAAGTGTCTGTCTGATGTATAATACAAGCTTAGGTTCTTCCGGCCATAGCCTCTCCTTTCAGCACCATTTCTAAAATCCCATTTACGGAGGACAAATAGCTTTTGGGTAAAAGAGTCTTTGCCTCTTCAAAGAAGCAGTTAGCTGGCTGTTCTCCCCTAACTGTGCCTATCTATGGTTGGGGTGACGAAGTGAGATTATTTTATTTCCATTTAAACTCTCTGGGGGTCTGGCTGTCAAGGGAGGCAGCTGCTGTCTTTGTTGACTGCTTTTCCTCCTGAAAGTGCTGTGTAGGTTTCTTGGGGTAGGAGAAGGGGGCAGGTAGTGGCACTGGCAGGGGGCCTGTCTCCACCCAGCTGCCCCCATCTTGGCCTGAGGAACTGTGCCCAGCATTTCTCTGAACTTCAAAGGCACTCTCAGCAGGATCTTTGCGGTCATGGCTCAGGAGGGTGTGTTTGCTGAGTCTGTGAGTATTTGTGTGTGTCAGTGCCCTGGGCCATGTGGTTGGCTGGATTTGTTAAGGAGAATGCTCATTCCATGAGCCAGAATTTTTGGAGCACCAACTGCATATACTAGTCACTGGTCAAACAAAGATGCCAGGTTACCTCCCAGTTTCCCTTGGGAATGGGGAAGGATGGGGTTCTGTGGGAGCCTGGAGGAGAGGTACCTGACTCAGCTAAGAACAGCTAGAGGTGATGTCTCAGTTGAATTTTGAAGGGTTAGCAGAGGTCACCCTGCTGGCACTTTCCCCCTCCAGGAGAGAAGCATGGGGCACTGGGTTTGCCATGTACAGGCCTGGCACCTTGAGAGGAATGCTGTGAGATATGGGGACACACATGGCCAGATGCATGGAGCTCAAAGGACTGTGAAGGTGACAGCAAGGGGCAGCTGGCACCAGAGCCCACTTGGCATGGTGGCAGCTGGGGAGGGAAGTCTGGGAGTGTTTCTTATCCTCAGACCTTGGACCAGTTGGAGGACGAAATAGCTTGGGGACAAATGGTAAGTATTATATCACTGAGCAAGGAAAACTTAACCAAGAGGTGGTTCCAGTGGGTAGAGTAGGGGATTAATTATTTTTATTAACTTCATCAAGCCCCAAAAGGAGATAAGTGAGTACCCTCATATCAAGGCTGATGTAGAGACTAGGGACCTCTCCTGCTGGGACTCTCATCTGGGGATTGCTGGAAGATGGCATGGCTATCAGACCTTCCTTTCCTTTCCAGCTGGTGCAGGAGTCCATGGGTTCTTCTTGCCTCTGTTTAACCTAAAAGCTCCCTCCAGTGCCTGAAGATGCTTGGTTCCTGGCTGGGTTTGGAGGACTTGTGGGTATCTCCTTCAGGAATGTGGGACAGGCAGGCTCTGAGGACCCCTGGCTCATACTCTGTTAGTATGACTGAGACAAGACTGCCTCTTGACCAGGGGCTGGAAGAGTCCGGGGAGGTGGTGGGAGGTTCACTGCTGTCTCAGAGAACCAGGCTCATGAGCTGTGTGTGTGGCTCCCTGGAGGCTGGGCCAGGCACTGTGCCCATTCGTGCCCCAAAGGGGAGCCAGAGGTGGGCAGTTGGTTGACCTGGCGTCTGCTGATGCAGCAGCATCACAGGACCAGGTATTGGAAAGCTCAGTCCCTGGCTTAGGGATTTGCTGGGTTATGTTGTAAGGTCACCTAGCCTGGCTTTACCTTTCTCCTCCTGCTCCTTTTCCTCCTCCTCCTCCCGCAGGTTTGATGTCTGTAAAGTGTAGGTAACTAAGATTATATGTGGCTTTATTCAGTGCTTTGCTAGTATAGGCTGGTATTCAACTCTCATGCCCCACCCTGCTCCTGAGTTCTACAAAGTTCACTTCTCCCAAATCCCTATTGGCCCTCAGAGATCCAGGAAGTGGCCAGATCAGAATATTCACATGGACCAGCCTTTCTGGTGCTTCGGCTCTTGAAGTACAGGAAAAGGTTAGAGCAAAGGATGTGAAGATGAACTCAACAGCAAGGACCTGAAAATAGCCCCTCTGATAGCTTGAGATGGGTGGGCAGCACTCATTCTATCTGCCTGAATTCCCTTGATTCAGTGACAGCAAAGTGCCCTTCCTAAATAGGGCCAGATTTTTTAGGGTGGTTTTAGAGTGGGGATAGAGCCCCTGCCAGCCTGCCCAACCCCTGCAGGAGGCTCGGCGTGAACAGTGAACACAGAGACTCTCTTGTTAGAGCTTTCTGGAGGGCTCAGGCCCCACCCTGGGGAGCTGGGTATTATTGCCTGGAGACTCTAGGTTTCTGCTCTGCAAAACCCAATGTTGACAAGCTCCATAAGCTGGGAAAAGTGTCTTGCCCTGATTTTGAGCCTAGCGATGGTCAGGCATTGCTATACTCATTTTATTGGTGGAAAGGGCTAGGTCCAGAGTTTACCTGACTCTCTTCAGGCAACAAACTGAGTGACACGGAGGGCTGAGTCTAGAATCCACTACTGTGCTCTTCCTGTATTGTTCCAAGGTGAGTCCCCAGTGGCTTCTCCTTGATTTTTTTTCTGTTCTCTCATCTTATTTTCCTTTTTTTCCATCCCCTGGAGCTGCACCATCCAATACAGCAGCCACTGGCCACATGTGGCCTGAGTGTGGAAATGTGGCTAGTTCACATTGACATGTGCTGTAAGGGTAAAATGTACCTTGCAGTTGACTGAGTACAGAAAAAGAATGTAAGCTATCTCATTAGTAATTTGTTACGTTCATTATTTGTTAACATAATACTCTTTTAGACACATTGGGTTAAATAAAATACGTTATGACACATCAAAATACATTTTTGATGTATTTAGAAGACAATTTAAAATGACTTACGTGGCTCTGATTCTATTTCTGCCAGGCAGTGCTACTCTCGAGCTTTGCTATTCAAAGTGTGGTCTGTGGACCAGCAGCATGGGCATTACCTGAAGCATGTGGGAAATGCTGAATTTCAGGTGCTGCTCAAGACCTGCTGAGTCCAGACTGGCACTTTAACATGATTCCTAGATGATTCTACAGTTCTAGAGACTCAGAGCTTAGCTGGAGCTAGATAGGGCCCTGCTTGCTGTGAGCCTGAGCCCACTTATAAAACAGGAATCCTGGCTGGCTGTAGTGGCTTATGCCAGTAATCCCAGCACTTTGGGAGGCTGAGGCAGATGGATCACCTGAGGTCAGGAGTTTGAGACCAGCCTGGCTAACATGGTGAA